TATTCAACCTTAAAAAGGAAGGAAATTTTGACACATGCTAAAAATGGATGAACCTTGAAGACGTTATGCTGAGGGAAATAAGACAGTCACAAAACAGCAAATTCTATATAATTCACTTATATGAGGTACCTGGAATAGGCCAATTCATAGACACAAATAGTAGAACAATGGTTGCCGGGGGCCAGAAGGAGAGGGCAATGAATGGTTATTGTTTAGTGGTTATGAAGTTTCAGTTTGGGAAGATAAACAATATTTTAGAAACAGAAGGTTATGATGGTTGTGCAACAATGTGAATGTACTTAATGCCACTGATGTGTCTACTTAAAAAAAGTTAAAACATTACATTCTGTTATGTATACTTCCTCCCCCCCCACAAAAAAAAGCTGGTTACTCTTGTAAAAAATATTTGGCACTCTGAGTTTTTTGACTTTCAGAACTGTAAATGCAGGATCCTAGGTGAATTAGGTCACTGGTTTATATCAGCTTGTGCTGTTGGTGAAAACTTGTTTGCAGACTCACCAGTCAGCAAAAATCTAGTAACTCACAAGTGGTGTACAAGTCACTAGTGCAAATAAAACACTAGTATTCCCTTTGTTTTAGGAACGATCCATCTGGCTTACAAAGGCCATTTTCTTTGACTAAGACTTGGGGAGGGGCCAGGGAGCCCCGAGAATCAGCTCTGGCCCTGCAGTTCCCCGTCAGCGGGAGCATGACATCTCTAAGATGGCTGACACTCAGTCTAAAGTAGGGTTAATTGTTTTCACTGGAAATGAAATGTCTTAATTAGCTCAACCTCAACTATAAAGATATAAGAGAACTGATTGATATTGTCTCTCTATAATAAAACTGTAACACTTAATATTTTTCTGAGTTTAGTGTTCATCTTAGTTCATCTAAACACTGCTCTCAGAGTGAGTGGAAGACAGTGGAGCAGGAAGCTCCTGAGCTCAACTCCTTGCAGGCAGACACCACGGCTGCAACTACATACAGAACAACTTTATCTGAGAAGGACTTCAAGACTAGAAGAACAGCTCTTCCACAGCTGAAAATGAAAGAAAAAGCTACTTCTAGAGAGTAGGAAGGGCAGAGACACAGTCTGGTCAGGAACCAAACCTCCAGCACAGCGACCCACAAGCGATATCACAGGTGTGGTGGACCTCCCTAAGGAGCAAGGGGTTCAAGCCCCACATGGGGCAACCCCTGCCCTGGAGATCTGCACTGGGCAGATGAACCCCCATAACATCTGGCTTTGAAAATCAGCAGGGCAGAACTCTGGGAGGACTGGAGGGCTATAGAAAACTGAGACTCTACTCTTCAAGGGCCAGCTTACAATCTTGCTCACTCTGAAACCCAGCACAGAGGCTGCAGCTTAAAAAGTGCCTGGGCTGTTGGGGACCGCCTTTGTCTTCTCACATGTTTGTAGGCAGAATGGGAAAGCACCTTCCCCCATGTCTGAACGCAGCATGGGAAAGCACCAGCTTGAGAACAACCAGTGCAGTCCTTGGAAGTTATCTGTCCACAGAAACATATCTTGTCCTCCAAGACGAGCCAAGACTCCTCACTCTGAAAATAGGGAAACGTTGAAGATGTGTGGAAACACCGCCCCTGCTTCTGGCTATGCCCTTCCCCCACTTGCCGATGTGGCAGGAATGGAGAACAAAGAACATTCTGTTTACGCATTCCATAAGCAACTAACTGGAACCCTGCTGAGCCTACCTTTGCCCGGCTACTGCTGACGTCAATACTGTGCCTGATAGTCTATTGGATAATGCTATGTCCTGGAATCATGTAACCCCACTGCATTATATAAACCCTGGACCTTCAATAAAGTTTTGCTGGCGACGTCTGGGAGCATCAGCCCTCCCAGTTCTTTCTGTCTTTCTTTGTTTTCTTCGCCCCCCTTCCGCACTTCAGGACCTGCTCGACTAGGCGCGGCTGGACCGCGACACTGGGCCATAAATGAAGATTTATTGACAAATTTTAGGGCATGTTCTGGAGGGGCAGGTTCCTATAGAAACTTCCTTCAGGAACAGAAGTGCTGGCAGACACCAATTTTCTTACCCTCCTTCAGCCTAGCTGGCCTGACACTGGCAGGCTCCAGTTCTGACCCTCTCCATCTACCTTGCTAGCACTGCTGGCTACACCCTGGTATTACTTTACAGACCTGTCCCACCCTACCCACCTGCCCTAGCAGGGGGTTCTCCAAAAGCAGCTCCTCCCTTACCACACCTGGCCGGTGGCCTTGGTCAAGACTGGCATCCCTCCAAAGCAGTTTCCACCCCCACCACACCTAGTGGGCAGCCTCAGCTGAGACTGCACCCCTCCAAAGCAACTCCTTCCCTGGGGTGGGGTCCCAGCCTGCTGCAGCAGTGGTGGCCCAGTCACATCAGGAGGGCACACATGGCCCAGAAGATACCCCTGCAGCTCCTGGTTGTGGTGACTGGGGGAATTGCATTTCTGGGCCCTTTAGGACACCTTCGACATAAGGCCATGACCCTCAAGACTAGGAGATGTAGCTGACCTACCTAATACATAGAAATAACAAGTCAGACAGAATGAGAAGACAGAGGAATACATTCCAAATGGAAGAACTAAACAAAACCAATTGGGAATGGCACCCTTCTCATGGCTCCCTTGAGCTCAAATTGCAGGGTGGTTGGTATGACCTCTTAAAAGCAGTCCATTACTCCCTTGGAAATAAAAGCTATTGTCCTGCTGGTCATCTATCCAAAAATGCATGCCAACCCCTTCCTGATGAGGTAGGCCTAGGCGCTATAGGCTACATCTATGAGACTAGCCTGTCTGCTGTGTATCCTGTACCTGCTTTGATCTTGGCAAGAGAGGGTGTGGGGGAATCTGCTGAGACTGATACAAAATGGAAGGTGTCCCTGGCTGTCTTCTTTTGACCCTGGGAACAGGAGGTGGCAATGGGGTTAGCTGTGTGCAAACAATACAAACCCCTGGGTATATAGATGCTCATTCTGAACCAGCTCCTGAACTGTCTTTTGAGAGCCTAAAATCAGGGATATTGTATCAAGTAGAAAAGTATAGCAGGGTAAATACGGTTTCTGTCCTGATCCTCAGACTTTAAAATTTATACCTTAGTTATATGATCCAATTTTTTGGATGAGCTGGATAAAGTGACTGCCAAAAAGGAAACAATTTCTGGTTCATGCTCCCCAATATCTAGCTAGTTTATGGCCTATAATCCCATCCAATAATTTCACTCATCCGTTATCTAAGTATATGTTTTGCTCCCAGTTTATCTTAAAGTATATACCAAGGAGTTTCTTGCTTAAAGGATAAAGCAAGGCCAAATGTTGGTTGCTTTACTAATATTTTACTTTGCTCTTATAGGTGCTTGCTTGCTTTATCTGCTTGGGTATTTTTCTGGATAAAGTGACACTGGCCCACACTCTGTGGCCGAGAACTTAAAGGCCTTGACTATCTCCCTGTCAATGCACTGTAGTGGACACTACATTCTACAACTTCCTATGTCGAACCCCTATGTTTGGTGTTCAGAAGTATATTCACTCTACAATCCTGAGCTTCCATTAAGAAAACAGCTATCTAATCTCCAGATCGGCTGGCTGAAAACATACTTTTTGTATTTAACAGATATTTACAGAAGGTGGACTCTTGGTACATGTAGGAAATACAATATCCAGTTCACTTCCCTGTTGCTTAATTATACAGAAAGTTTGGTTAAAAACAACATTATTTAAGAAGGATGGCCTGAAAAATAGGTAGTCTGTGCATTGTTCTCTCAGTCCTCTGGAATCTACCCCAGGTCAGAAGAGAGCTCCAAACACAGCTGCATGATCTGGCCTGTGGAAAAACCTCTGTGGCCACACTGCCACCAGCCTGCATCAACAAGCTTCATGAACAACCACCCAGAACAGCTCAGTTCAGGCCTTTTGATGCCTTTGGGTCTCATGTCAGAGTCCTCTCTAGGAAGATTCTCAGGAAATTTCTTATTTCGGCACTGGGCGTAACTCTCCTTCACCTGAGCAGCAGGTAGTTTTCATCTCGTGGCCACCATGCCCCACGGCACAGAGGACACCCTCTCCAGCGCTGACAGCAGGAGCCACAAGCGCACAAGAGCCCAGCTGAAGTGAGTGGACAGGGCTTCCTGCCAGCGCTTGTGAGCTGTTGTCACTCCTGACTTCACCTTGCCTTTCCTATTTCCATTTCCATTTGAAACCCTCTCACCCCCAAATTCTTTATATGTGAAAATGAGATAATAAGCCTATCATCTTAGGAATTTAAAAAGAAGTATATAAACTGCTTTGTATTCTCAGGTACACATAATCAATGTATTTTAACAATAGCTAACATTTATTGAGTGCTGACTATGCACGATTCTAGGCAAGTGTATTTTACTTTGCAAGTGTATTTTACCTTCATAAAACTCAGTGAGGTTGGTGCTAGTATTATCCCTGTTTTGCATCCCTGAGGCCCAGAGATGTTAAGAAATTTCACCAAGGTCTCAAATCTGTAATAGGTGAAGCTTGGGTTTGAACCCAAGGCCCCATGACCTGAGCCCATGCTCATAACTCCTACAACTATGGTTAACTATTATTTTAAAAGTTTTTTAAAAAATAATTTTCTTGTCCTGTTTTCTCACCAATTATTTATTTCCTTATTTCTTCTCAGAGGCTGGGTGCAGTTATATTTAGGGTAACCAAGTTGCCCATAACTTTCCAGTTTTACAACTGAAAGCCCCATCTCCCAGGATACCTTTCAGTAGTTTTACCCTTATATCGTTTATCTTTACAGCAGGATCATTGCTAGTACATACAGATACTTTCATGCAAATTAGGAAAAAGGGGTATCCATTTATTTTTAACATATTTTTTATCTTGCATTCAACATATTTATGTCAACTGCCTTAAATCCTTTATGGAATAAGGTGGAGTACAGAGAAACAAATATAAATACAGAACTTGACACTGTTTTTAACACTCAGGGTTATGCATAAGTATTAATATATATTTTACCTTTATATCCTTGTTCTGTCTCCCTGAGATCAATTTTGGTTATTGGTTTGAAATCAGTATCCCATAATCGTATACACCCATCTCGTCCACCGGTGGCAAAGCCTTCTTCACAAGCATACATGCTAAAGATTCCAGCCTGTGGGTTAAGGCAGATAGTACTCAATGCTACAGTCATTCGAAATAGTCATTAGAGTTGGGTCTTGAGGATTAAAAGCAAAGCAAAGCAAAATCAAAACAAAAATAGATAAGAATCCTTTTTTCTCTCCTGAAATCCTAATAGAACAAGCAGCCATTTACAATATCAGTTATTTAGGTTAAGAATTCATCATAACTATCAAAGCAAACTAGTTCAAGTGTTCCTTTGCTATCACTAAACTGGTGGTAGTTTTATAAATTTAAAAAATCATTCAGGAATTCCTTGAATATATCAGGTATGGAGATCATAAATTCGTTTATATGACAACTGATCCTTATTAAGAAAAGCAGACAATGATGGAGGTGTCTTGTATAAATTGCTAATAAATAAATTGCTGCCAAAAATAACCAAGTAAAGATATGTAGACTAGGAACATAAACACCCTTTCAGGTACAAAGGTACCTGAAATGCATCTCAATGAGCCCAAGAAGGCACTATCCAAGCCTAATTAAAAGCATAAATCACATTTGTTTTAGCCTGCTAAACATCCTTTGAATATGCTTTTTCACATCGGAAATAGCTTTCAAATCATAAAGATGCTTTTCCACAGGAAAATCTTTTATTTGGCCCATTCAAAAGTGTTATAAAAGAATAATGTTGACATATGATCCAATATAAAGAGAAATTAGGTTTCTAAAGCAGCTGCTTTTATGCATAAGGACAAACACTGACTTCTTGTCCTAAAAACTGTTTCATAATTGGTGAAGCCAAGAAAATTGGTCTTCATTATACAAGACAGTGAAAGATCTAAAATGTCATAGCTCTTTCATTATAAATTGCTTAAACTTTTCTTCACATTAAGAGTAATAGGTGGCCAATTTGGAGACAATAAGCTAAAGGTCTATTGAGTTTCCAAAAAGCATTACCAAATTCCCAGTTACTATAATAGGCTTTAGCTCCCATATCATCTTCCCATTCTTCTGGGCATTTCCATATTGCCATCTGTAGATACAGCAATGTAGCCATTTTCATATATGATTAAAAAAAGAGCTGAGATGTCAGAAGTAAAGTTTGCCCTTGTTCTTACAGAGCAGACTATTGAAAGAGTTTATCTATGGTTTGTTTGCATTTTAAGAGCTTGTGATGCAGACATGAAGGTGACACTTACTCATTCCATGAGGAAAATCTACCCTACTACCTAATGAGAAAATAATAGTTATCTACACCCTTATTATTCAACTATGAGCCACAGGCCAGCAGCGGTGACACCATCCCACACCACTGAGTCAGACTTTGCATTTTAACAAGATACCCAGGAGATTCATAGGCACATTACAGTTTGAAACATGCTTGTCTACAAGATGAAACAGTACTAGTCTTCCAGATTTTAATAACACTAACCAGCCAGTCAATAATTGAGGTGAAGGCTAACTAAATTATTGTGCTTTTGAAATATTTATTTTAGATGAACAAAAATAATTTGGAAAATCTTTTGTGAATGTTTAGGGAGCGTTTAGCAGAGTCTGCCAATCCTAAAGCAACAGGAAAAAATAGAGATTTGTGACCTTACTTAACAAATTATTTCCAGATTTCCATATGGGAATACTTACACTGTGTGCTCCTTGAATGGTGCGGACTAAATTGAGCCCTTTCCAGACATAGATGTCACCATTTAAAGCACCAGAATAGGTGATATCATCTTTGGCACATGCAAGGCAAAGGATGGTCTGAAGATCCCCTGTTTTGCCAAATATCCCTCTTTTTGCAGTTAGGGCATTTCCACATAGTGTCCAGAACTAGACAGGAATTAAATAAATAGATCCAAAGATAGAGTATTCCGATGTATTACATTATTGGTATTTGTTTGCCTGTATTTCAGTACATTTTACATAATTTTTTAACTAGGTAGGCGCACTTATATAATAGCTGAACTAGGCACACATCATTTAACTTGTGTCACTGCAACCAACAGAGAACTGCAGAACTTCTTTAGCCAATTACAAGCAGCATAAGAAGAACCTGTATAGATATTTTAATAACTTCTGAAGTTCCCAAATTCCAAACCTTTGCTAATTGTTCACTGATGATTTAATACAAAATACCAATGTTCTCAGAGTTGGAATAAAGTAGATGTACCATCACATTTTTGATTCTTTGTCAAATTATAGAAACAGTGTGAGTTCACTGTTTAAAAGTACAGAAATAGAAATGTAGTTCAAGTTCAGAAATACAGAAAAGCATAAAGAGGAAAACAAATTATCCACAACCTCCTATTAACACATTGATATATCTTCTAGGAATTTGTTGATGTATACAGAAATAATTTCTTCCTAACTAAAAATGTTTTGCATCTTCATTGTGGAAATGTTATTTAGAAATATGTTTCTGGATATGAGTTATCTTTCCACATAGCCAAATAACTGAGTAGGTTTTTCAGTTTGAGTTGCATAGTTTATCATGTGGAAGACCTTAAGCATGAAGCTTGAGCTACTTTACAGAAGGCAGCAGGGAGACTACCCTGGTTATAGAAACATTAAATATTTGCTCTGACAGTTTTTTTAAATGTATACACTGGTATGACTTTACTGCCACATATATTAAGGCCCTTTACACTTATTTGATCTTCATAAAACTGTTGAGAATAGGCTAAGTCAGATATTATTATATCCCTTTGGAAGTTAGGGGAGAAGGGCTAAGTGGCTTACAGAGGGTAAGGGCTCAAATGGGGGTATATATGAGAAAATAATGAAGTCTTGATATTTGCCTTGAGAATTTTAAATCGAATTAAGAAGATATATATAAAGCCAGAGATATTTTTCAGGCAACATATTCAAACTATGTATGAGTGACAAGGGAATTCAAGGAGAGAGAACTATGTTGAACTAATTGGAATGAGCAAGAGTACTATTTGGATCAGTGATGAGAAAAGAAATTGCACTGGAGTTCAGGACAGCGGGATTAGGCAAATCCAGGTGACAGGAAATGTGTGAAGGAAAAAAATCAGTGACAGCCCTAATAGTGCCTGCAGTAGAAGAAAAATGGTGGTCCTCTCAGAGGAGTTGGATATTCAAAGAATCAGTACTGGGATGTTTGTACCACCCAAGAGGACCAGGACTCAGACAGCTGAGGAGGAGGTTGCCTTTAAGGAGGATGACAGGCAATTGTGCAACCATTTGAGACAATACAGGATTTTTTTCTCATTAAGAAGGAATGTGTCATTCATTTCCAGTGATTCATTTCTTGGGGTATTATTTTTTATATGAAAAGGCATTAAAGTATATAAGGAAAGAATAAGAAGGTCTGGGGAAAAAAATAGCTATAAGCTTTGGAAACACATTTAACATTTAAATATTAACACTGAACCTGAACCAACTATTAGATGCAAACAAATGCTGGTTGTCCAAACATACCAAAGAACTTGCTATTTGTGGTGACACTTAAGTCAGGCATTTTCCTTTCTCACTATATCTCCCCATAAAGAGTAAAAGGAGAGTAATTGTTTTGTAATTATTATCCCTTTAACTTGCAATGTGCACTTTCTGATCTGAGTTCTTGCAATATTTCTAGATGGGTAACCACAAAAATAGAGACCATTATTCTCAGAAACACATGTTTCTGATAAAATCACCTAGACAGATGGTAAAATACCCAAAATGTTACATTCCAGATAGTCAAATGATTCTTTGAAAAGGCATATATAGATATAATGCCAGGAGAGGTACAAGACTTTCTGCACAAAGTGGACAATCACCAAAATGTTCTTTCTTCTTGAGAAGCACTTTCTGTTTGGAATACAGTGATGGTTTAGAGTAGTAACATATTAAATTCACATCAAATGAAGAGACATTGTTTATCTTTTCCAGTCTCCATTCACAGATGGTAATGCAAATTTTGTGAGAACTGGCAAGTACCTTGGAGTTCATCTGGCCCTAGGTAATTTCAAAGGTCCCTTCTGCCTATGATTCAAGACTGGAAAAGGTCCAACAATATCCACAAACCTGGTAGACTCATCTGCTGTAAAACCAACCAAGCAAATACTCAACTGCTACCGTTTTTCAAGCATTCACTTCAGGTACTTGTCATTTGCCTGTTTGCCAAACACTGGAGATTTGCAAAACCAGAAAGGATTTCATCCTACCTACAAAAATTTCACAGAAAAATATTTTCTTGGAGTGCATCAAAGATTTTTGCAGTCAACTTGTGACTGGAATTATTCATACGTAAGTCAGGTTTTGGAAAAAAGATAGGGATGGAACTGGATGTAAAAAATAGAGTGAAAATAATTTGTTGAAGTCTGCTAAAATTTGTTGTGGATTTCTTTCTTAACAAAATTAATCAAGAATGGCTAAATGGGCATTTGTAGATTCTTCCATTTTAGGTAAAAATTGTTTTTTTTTGCTTAGAAAAAATGTGTTAGTCAGCTAAAACACAATTAGCAAATTTAACAGGAAAAGCAGCTCTTTGTATTTTCAAATGAAGGTCCAGGCTTTGTCTGTCTCTGCTTTTAGAATTAACTGACTGAAAGAGTTAACTGAAGATAAAAAGAAACAGGGAAGAAGCTGGAGAATTATATCAATTAAGCAGCTAATCTATTATTTATAATAACCTGGGTTTGGGTGGGGGGAAAGTTAAACCAAGATAAAGTCATTAAGGAAATAATTTTGAAGTAGAAAAAGCTCTACACCAGGAGCCAGAGTTTAAGTCTTTTCTGTGCCTCCATTTTCATGATTCTAGGAAATGGGGACAGAAATTAACATTATTGTGCCACAACTGGCTCCTCACATCATTCAATGTAACTCAAAGTTAGAAGGTAGTGATCATCCCACACCCCTCCTTTTTTTTAAAAAAAAAGGAAGAAATTTATCCTCAGAGAGATTAAACAGCTTTCTCAGAATCAAGAAGAGGGAATTAGAATCAGGATTCAAAGTCGAATGCCTCCTAGGTCTTGGCTCCCTCACTGTATAATAGGCAGGCTGGATGGTGGCTCTGGGGTCAAGGTCCCAGATTCCAGGGAGTAGCCACAGCCTAATGGAAATCTGGCTCATTGTGAGCTTATGTATTTCTCTGCTTGTGGCTGAAAGAATGCAGTGCCTTTGCTATACATCAGTCTGATCAGAAACCCATGTTGGCAGACATATCTTTGAATAATAAAAGTTGTTAAGGGAATTACTATTTAATAGCTGCAGAGTATTTTACTAGCCAAAATCTTTCAAAATATTGGTTCCCTGGAAAGAAATTTAAGAAAAGAAGTTCTTTGGTGATGAAAATATTGATAATCTTTGAACATACTATGGACCAAGGACTTTTCTGCTTCTTAGTCCGTGAGTCCATGGGTGACCAATCTCTTCCTGGGAATTCTTGCTGGAAGTGCAACCCCTCCCCTTGGTTCTGCTGCCTCCCAAACCCTCCTGCCAAACCCACCCACCTGCCAAGGCTCAGCTCAAATTGCATTCCCTTCCTGAAACACTTACCATTTCTCTAACCAGTGGATCACTCCTTTAGCCCTAGAGAATTGTGGTTTTGTCTTTCTTGCAGAATGTTCTAATATTTTAATTGATAAACTCCCAGCAAATTAAAAATAGGGTCAGTTTTAATACCTTCACATGGTACAAACTCAACTAATGTTTATCAAATTTAATGAGTCTTTCAGGTGGACTGTATGAGTCATAAGAAAGGATCCTTCAACTGCTGCTGACAGCAAAAAGTTACCTATATTCAGCTAACATACTCTCAGGTCTTTGCACAAGGATTACAAGGTGTTTTTGAAGCCCTAAGGTGCTGGTAGGACATGGAATATCTTTGAAGAGTAGAACCTATAGAATTATCTTTTTTTCCCCTGCTTTTTCCTTACTTACTTTTTCTTATTTTGGAAGTAATACATGTTATCATAAAGTAATTTTTTTAAAAAAGGGAAAATTTAAAAATCATCCATCAACTCACTACCCAGAAATAACTGTTTACCAATTTGCGATATCCTCCCAATTTAATTCCTACACAAAAATATACTAAACTTTTAAAGACAAAAACAAAAAGCTACAAATTTATCCCACCCAGGAGACTATAAATAGATCTTGACCTAATAACATTAAATCATCATTTAAAACACAGTTTATAATGATCACACAGTATTTCTCCATATGGATATACCATATTTCAGTTCACCACCTGGGAGCAGTTAGGTGTTTTCAGGTCTTCTTTTGTTTGGCTTTATTTGTTGTTAAGTTATTCAGCAGTGAATCAGCATTTGGTTCACATTCCTAATAATTTCCTTGGGCTGAATTCCAAGATATGGAATTACTGTCTTTGCTCACGTTGATAGCACATGTACTAAAATTGGAATGAAATTACTGGTTCAAAGAGTATCAACATTTTTAAGGCTATTGATAGATATTAACAGATTTCTAGACTGAAAGACCAGAAATACTCATTTCTGATACTTATTTACCCTTCCACTTGCAAGGTTTGAGACTGTTTATTCACTAAATCTTTGCCAGCAGTGGGTACATTTCAATCATAATTTTGATAGATTAACATTGTTATTTTAAAATTAATGAGATTTAGAACTTGGCAAACAATACTTCTGTTTTTGTCAATTATCTATGTTCTTTGTCCATTCTACAGATTGGCTAGAGGTCTTTACATTTTAAGAATAAGCCATGCTTGTTGCTTACTTTGCTGGAAACAAAGTTTGCCTCTTGTTTCTTGTGGGGTGGGATGGGGGCAGGGAGTGCAAGGTAGAATAATATTTATTCACTTGAATCTACATTATAATTTATGGTATCTTTCTTTGCTTTTACATTTAGAAAGGTCTTTCTACAACTTTAGAGCAGTTAAATATTTACTGATATATTCCTTTAGTTACAGGTTTTTTTTTAACATTTAACTCTTTAATGCGTAAAGAATCTATTTTAGTATACGGTATATATAGTAATGATATATTACTTCTCCCCCCAAATAGGTAAATTGTTCTATTGCCCACTGTCAGAGATACTATTATATTTTAAATTGTCATACATATTAAGGTCCATTTCTCAGCTTTCTTTCTTTTTGTTGTTGTTTATCCTTATCCCAGTCTTACACTGTGATCACATAGTTAGGCAGAAGAAAGGTTAATGGGGAACTTAGAGGGAAAGTTAACATTCTCTGCTTAGTTGTTTTGCAGAACAAGATGTTCAGGTCTCAGGAGAGCAAGTGCTCCTCTGACTACAGCCTTGAGAACCCCTCCCTGTTGCCAGCGGCTGAGACATTTAGCCAATCATTACTCCTCTTCTGTACACCAATCAGAAATGCATTGAGTTTTCATCTTATTTGCATAATCCTGTGCCAATTAGAAGTGTACTGAGTTTTCACTTTATTTGCATGGTGGACCTAAGTGAGAACTGGCTTGTGCTTATAAAAGAACAGCCCTGTACTTTGGGGAGGCACTGCTATGGTAGCTACCCCTAGTATTTCCCTTGGTGCAGGTAATAAATTTTCATTTCTTGTAATCTGGTTCATTTAAGTTTTATGAGCTAACAGTCACCAAGAGATGAACCCTTTGCATTCAGTTACAATGCCGTTTTCATTATTGCAATTTCATAAAATGCTTTAGTAAATAGTTCAGATTCTTCTTTATAATTCTTTTTTAATCCCAAAGTTCTTGGTTATTGTCATTCTTTTATCCTTCCAGATTAATTTAGAGTTATGTACGGAGAAAATGTCAGGTAGCAGCAACAAAGACATTTTAATTGGACTAGTACTAAATATAAATTAATTTGCATTTATAATTTTGAGACTTCACATCCAGAATCAAGGTTGTGTGTCCATTTGCTCAAGTCTTCTTTTATATTCCTCTGTAAAGTTTTGTAATAGTCTTTAAGTAAGATTTGCATGTTTATTGCTATGTTTATTTTTGAGCATTTTATCATCTATCCCTTTCTCACCATTAAGGAGGAACAATACAAAGGATAATGAAAAACTAGACTAAAAGAACAAAAGAATTGGGAAACGAGGAGTTGATTGGAAGAATAATATAGATATCTACTCTGTTCATACAGAAATGCACCATTTTTGTTCCCACAGAAATATAAGTAAACCTTACACTCTTACTCATGGACTTAAATTTATCTTATCTACAAACCTATAGACAGAAGATCCTGGCTCACATCCCAGGACTCAGAAGAAATTTTTGTTATGTCAGAGCCAAAGACATTGATGGTATTGATTTTGCTACCTGTATAACAAAATAGAAAGAAGCGAATAGCCATAGGTAGGTCCTGGGCCACTAGTAATATTTCAGGCTGTGTAGTCTGGAGGAAGACAGAGGCATTTAAAAACCAATTGCCTCTGTTGGTTTGTACCAGTAACCTTCTATTTCTCACAACATAGCACCTTTCTACTAAGAGAGCATAGCAACATGTCAAAAAAAAAAAAGTTTTGACATGCAATATGTGTAAGCATTCATCATAATATAAAAACTTAATTCACAAAATTGAAATCACAACTCTTTGAAAACATGCAGTCCTACAAATATGAGTCTTCAACTTCTACATAATTCACATAAAGTTTCTTTTTCAGCTGCCTGCTAAGCATGTCAGTTGACTGCATTACATTGCATTTCTGAAAGACAGCCTTATGAGCTGATGTCAGCTTCCTCCAAGATCAGAGAAGTAGGTAAGAAGTCTCTAAATTAAAGGGAAAAAAATTTAAATTGATCATAGACACTGCAAAGTGACTGTTGGTTACCATGAGTGTTGGGGTGGGTGGATAAAAGGATACAAAAATTATCAATCATAATATAAATTGGTCACAGGGATGGAAGTACAGCATGGAGAATATAGCCAGTGATTCTGTAACATCTTCCTATGTTGACAAATACTAGCCATACTAGTGGGGGTGAGGATTTAAAAATATGTGTAACTGCTGAACCGCTGTGTTGTATATTTGTATACTAGAAACCAATATAAGATTGTATATCAATGATACTTCAATGAAAAACAAAGAAAAAAATGTAGTCAAACAATTTCTCAATACCAAATTTTATATATATAATTCTTTTCACACAAAGTACAAAAAAATTTTTTAAATAACTACTTTACCTTTATATGTTTTACTCCACAGCTAACCACTCTGTTTGGCTGATATGGATCCCAGGAAATATCAAAAATCTATTAAAAAATTAAAAGTTATGTTAGTCATTTATGTGTTTTTGCCTTTTTTCAGATACCAGTCCAATTGCCAAGACTCTATCCTAACATTTAGAACACAATGTTACCCGCTCAGAATGAAAAGTGGAAGATTTGGCTCTAGGTATGAGTCAGGAATTGCTAACAAATGTTTTATCACCATATGTATAGTTTAGGTCAAATAGAGAGTTCATAATTAACCACAGCCATTGAGAACAAACTGGTGTCATACTTTTAACTTCATTACCCATTCAGGGTAAACAAACTGTGATTGATTTAGGGTCAGTTTTTTTTCATCTAATTTTCTATAGTTCTCCACAATGCTAATTAGACACTTTGAGATAGCTTTAAAATTAAAAGAATTATAAAATGCTTCATTTTAAGTATGAGAATGTTTAATAATCAACTGCAATTCAATATGGCTAACAGATCTCATAATCATAGAGGTTAATATTCCTATACATAAGGCACAGGCACTGATCTGGCACTAACTGAGCCTACCAAAAATAATCCTTTAGGTCATCATTTTAACCTGACCATATTTTCAGTCCTCCAAGGAACTGAAAACATATCTGCCAATACAATTTATTATTGTTTAAGAAAAGCTATCAAACAGTTTGCAGGAGTTTTGTTTGCATTTTGGGAACAGGAAAGAGAAAACTCTTTGTCAACCTCGAGTGTCAAATCACCTGTGGCAACTGTTTAAAATGCATATTCCCTAGGCCCACCTGAGAGATTCTGATTTACTAGGTCTGAAATTGGGTCTAGACATCTGCATTTTTAAAGAGACCCCAGGGGATTCTTGTACAGGTGGTCCAAAGATCACATTCTGTGAAGCTCTAATAGAAGAACCAACTGTCAGGGCCAGAGTCTAGACCAGAAAAAGGGCTTAGGCTGCTAATTTCTCATCACATAGGATGGAGCAGTATGGCCCACTCATCAGAGAGAGAGATGGAGGACTGACAACAGTTGGTTAGATAGAAAGGAACAACTATGAACTACATAAAGAACACAGTAATTGATCCAAGTACCAAGTACCCATGAGGGCCAAGTACCCATTTTAGCTATGTGAGATCAGAAAGGACTCAGCATCTCTAAAATACACCACCTCAGTTCTGTTATGAAGTCAATTAAAATAATGTATTTACAATCATTTGACAGGTTATACAGCACTCATTATACAAATGAGTGCTAGGGATTAAGTATTTTAGCCACTAAAATAATCTTGAAGATAATCATTTGTCCATAAGCAGCCAATAATGATTCATAATGGCATCACTAATAAAGAGCCAAACTATGTGCAGTACAAATTATGGGGTCTGGGAGAACAGTGTTCTAAAAGAACAGTGTTTCATTAAAACATTCTAGGTTCTCAGTATGAGAGAAGTCACTGGAGTAGCATTGCACTTTTTACAATCTACACCTAACTGGAAAGTGTACAATACATTAACAAAGCAGTAAAGATTTGTTCTGATTCATTACTTTACCAGATATGATGGGTTCAGAGCATAAGCAGAAACAGTAATATCCAAAATGTAAGCATCACAAATATTTTCAACCTGTTCATTCAGTACTAAGTTAATATCAATTAAATGCCAGTAAGTTAATACCAATACCTGGATACAGCCCAACCATCACTATGCCATAGAACCTCCCTTACATGTAGCCAGGGGTGGGAAGCATTGGACTAGAGGGTGCCAGACCTCTTCCAACACTTAAGTTCCATTACTGGTCACTCTTGGACTTTCCGAAGACTTAATCCTCAAGTACAATTTGCCCAAACATGCAGCAATAATTATGGAATCTCCTTAAAACAATTTTCCCTAGATGAATGTATCATTCACATTTAAAAATTTTTTATAGTTCACACTAAGCAAGAGACCTTGAATTTAATAATTCAGGCCTAATCTGCATAGATACTTATATTGCACAGAAATACAAAACAACTAGGAATGATTAAGAATTTTTAAATTAGGAAATCAGAATAAATTAGTTGAATTATTTTAATTATGCAAGATACTGGAGAAATACATACTGACTAGTTCATACATAAGCCTACTTCATATCCTATATTGCCAGCTATGACTACATGGAATTATTTCTGATCACACTGACTTCAATATGATGATAAGTAGGCTACAATTTACATTCAAGATTCTCAAATATAACAAAGAATCTCACAGTTGTCATTACATTCATCTGAAATTAAAATTATATACCCTTAGAAAATATTCACAAAATGTTTACAACTATTTCCATTTCTAAACGAATATATCTAAACTTTAAATATAATTTCATATTCACTTCTTTTCAAATTCAATTTTATTTTGATTCAATGAATATGCTAAATGCCAGTATCAAAAATTTGTTTTGCCTATGAAAAGTAGTAGCAATTAAATAAAGCATCTGATCACTAGAATAGATCATGCCAACATAGCTATTAATCATGAGTTAATTTTTAAAGACTAAGTTTTTAAGTTGATTACACAGGAAAAATCTGTGTGTGGCAAATTTACAATATTGAAGGTCTGAGAAGCTATATCATATTTTCCCAAGTCATGAATATGCATGGCTTAACCCAACAAGTCCTTCTTACCCGGTCGGAGTGGCCAGTGGCTGAAGCCAGAAGTTTTCCCCTCCTCCAGTCCCAGATGCAGACTGTGTTTTTGGCATCCAATCCCACAGAGGCTAAACGCTGAGAGTAAGAACAGTAACTTAATATCTGAAACGCCAGGGAGATTTCCTATTATCCACGGCTATTTTCAACAAATGGTTACTGATCACCCACTATGGGCCAGGCATATGAAAAAAAATGTTTCTCAAACTCCATCTTAAATCCCAAACAAAAGAGATCACAGTAGGTAACTAAGCAAAATGTCAAAAACCTAAAAGCTCCAACTCATTTGTCCTTCTTAAACATAGAAAACAAAGTCTCTGATTAATCAGTGGCAACCCTAGGAACAATGTGAAGGCAAGGTTCAAATTTTTTAATTTTTTAATTTAAGATCTTAATGTCATATTTAAGAGACTTTAGGATTCTATAGTCTAAGAGCCACACCAAACTGCTAAAATTAAAGGGTTTGACAGGCACATAAAAAAGAAATCCCATAAATGAACATTACTTTCATAATTTCACAAACATTTCAAATGACCAAAGAAGGGTATGTAATTTTAATAGAAGTAATCTGGGACTTCATCTCCCAGTTTAAATCCTTTGGATTTAGATCAGAACTTGCTCTTGAAGGGAAAAGAAAATCCAACACATGTTAAGTATATACAAAATCAAAAAAGTATCAAAAACTCCTATTAGGAACACCAAAATCAGCACTTCTAGCAGGATGCCACTCCTAGGGAAACAGCACTCTGTAGAAGAGGTCTGGACTAGATGTGAGTAGATTTGGCTTCTCTTTTGACTTTCTAAGTAGCCAAAAAGACCTTGGAAAATTAACCTCCTCAGATCTCAGTTATCTCATCTGTAATATGAGTGCAAAATATTTGTCCCATGTACAATACCTAGCAGGATTGCTTAATGGGTCAATGAAATAATGTAAGTGAAAGAGTTTGAAAATATTGTATCACCCAAATATGAATATCTGAGCTTATGTTTGTCACCAAGTATATTTATTTGTGCGTGTGTGCACATGTGTACATGCACATGTATCTACAGAATGATAGCGAGATATGGCTAAATGCATACATGCATTGTTATGCAGGAATTATTTAGGATTCTTCACTAAAGATGGCTTCTGTTAGGAATATTTAGTATAAAAAATACATAGTTGAAGGTTTTAAAAATGTGCCCCTTAAGAAAGGGGGTCTTTGCCATAATTTTTAATTGAGGGTTCCAGCAATGGAAATGATTATAAAATTTGGTTTCATTTTATCCATATAAGAAAATTCAAAGTCGGTAAATTTCATTCAGTTTATTCTTTTTTTTTAATAGAAAAAGCTGTTAACAGAAATATGGGCACTAAAGTAAAACCTACATTTTTTGATTGAGAAAAATCCAGAAGAAATCTATTCTGTTCATTTGTACTGACAAGCCCCATAGCTACCTAAAAAGCATTTCCATTGCATTTTTTTGCTTGAGAAGTGATGGGCCATTTGTCATTTTCTAAATATCACTCGATTCCAGTGAACTCTGTCCATGGAGTAAGGCAGACCTGAAGCAATAGGCATCAAAGCTATGAAAGGTTATTTTTCTCAACTGACAGTTAAGTGCCATTAAGTCCATTCTAATCCATGTCCCCTTCAAAATGAACCTAAAAGAGAACAGGATTCTAAAACAAAACACATGGAGAGTGAAAGCTGGATTTCCCTCTGCTGCATTATATTTTTCTTGTGATGCTATAGAAAAAAACTGATGAAGAATGTTTGCTAGAAAAACAAAACCAGAGAATGTGTATATAAGTAAACATCTAAGCATATATTTACTTGCATATTCATTCTGACACATTCATTCAATTTAGTCAGGAAGTCAATAACTACAAGTCTGAACCAATGTCACTATCTAGCCATTTCTCTTTAGACATGGATACGCAGTGGACGCTATGCGTTATCCTTACTGAGATTACAAAGTAAATTCAAAAAAACATATATGCCAGGGGTCTATATATGTGTCTAGTTCTAGAGAGCAAAGAGTAGTTAATGGTCACAACTTGCTCAAAATAGCAGAAAAAATAAGTAAATGTTAATTGTTTAAAATGTGACTCAAACCAGATCAGGTCTTCTAATCCACTGAACACCCCACAAACTCTCAGTTTGTTTAAGCCCCTATGAATAGGTCTTTCCACAGCATGGACTTACAAAATTAACTCAGAAATTTGCCAAAAATGGGACTGACAGAATTAACTGGCAGAAATATAGAGGGTGGGAGACAGAGGAAGGGTGCCCTGGGAACATGGAGGGGCCTGGGAGAAAGCACAGCCTTGCTGAGGAGGGGCTGCAGTGGAAGCCAGGGATCACCCCTGTATGGTTTTATTCCTTTCCTCTAATAGTTTTAAAGTTGAGATGTAATTGTCATCCATAATGTATTAACAAATCTTTTCTGCCAAGTGGAAGTCCAAAGGAAAGGGAGAGACTTTATTGATGGTCTGAGAAGGCTTCATGAAGACCCTTGAAGTGTCTTGGAAAAATGAGACACTCTAAGGGGCAAAGATGGGGCATAGGGCACTTGGGTGGGAGAGGACAGTATGAGCAAGGGTCTTGAGGTGTGCAAGTGCAAGACCTGGTATAGGAATCTGACTTGTCCCATTTGACTGCAAGGGGGTAGTGAAGATAAGGCTAGAGAAGTCTGTTGGACTAGAATGCCCAGCCACACGGTGTGGACTTCATTCAATAGGTACTCCAAGCTGTTGTTTTTAAACAACACTCTGACACTTTTCAGTTGGTGAAATGTATTAGCAAGAAATTGACAGTGTGGAGACCTGTTAAGAGGTTAAATTGGCAGTCATGACACGGATTCGGAACTTAAAGGATGGTGGCAGACAGAATGGGAAAGAGAATAAATTTAAGAGATACTGAAAAAAAAAACAAACTAATGACTACACATGAATCAGTGACTACTGGAGTTGGGGAGAGTGGGAAGGGAGGAGTCAGAAGTGACCTCAAGGTAAAGAGGCAAAGAGAATCTTCTCAATGGATTATTAGGAGGTTATGCTACCTTCTGCAGGCAAGAGAACCAAGGAGATGCTTGGGGCTTGGGGTCTGTGAAAAAGGTTTGGTCCAGCCCTATTCAATATAAAGCTAACAATGGAAGACAAAGCGAAGTTGCTGAGTCACAATGAACCCAGTCAGCTTGAGCCATGACTTCTTCCTGGAGACTTTTAACCTGATGATGAGAGTGGGGGAACCAACACTGGGCCTTCCCAGCGGTGGTATCAGGACCACAGTTTGGAAAATTGTCTAACAGGTGAGGATTCTCAGAGGCTGCCAAGGGGAGACATCAAGGGTTGATGGACTTCCTGAACCTATATGCTAGGCATATTATGATTCTAAGTGACTTATGAGAAGTCATTAAAGGAAAAAGAAATGGAAAATATACAGACCTGTCCATCTGAGTCAAAAGCCAGGCAGGCGACTCCATGTGTATGAACATCTTTAAGAATAGACACAGTCTGGACATTATAGGAATCCCATATACATATATACGGCTCCTTCCCAACTTGGCCAGTTGCAACGAGAGTTTTATCTGGGTGTAAGGCAAGGCTGAAAAAGAAAAAGGCCTCTTTTCACATTCTCCTATTGAACAAAGTTTAGGAAAATATTGATCTTTTACCCACATTTGTTTCTCATTCTTATCATGTAATAAAATAATCTCAGGAGCAAGAGTCTGAACTGTCCCCAAAATAATTACCTGATTGGTCTAACAGAAATGTTCAACTTTGGCAAAGAGAGGCCTAGCACAGTTTAACAATAATTTCATCCGATCTTACCCACTTGGTTACCTTGAAAATCAGACACTACTGTGATTCTAATTGTATGACTAGAAAACCTATATGGTTCTGTAATTGCTTTATGTCATACTCACTGATTTGGAAAATATTACTCAACTTTCAGATTACCTTTTCACTTTAATTTGAAAAAAAAATACTGTTGCTAGAAGAAAGTGTGCTTCTCAGAATTAATTAAACCTGTTTACAGAAGCTCTGGCTACCATCCTCATTAGGATTTCACAGCATGGAGAAGTCTCAGAATCAAATGCCATTTCTGTGGATGTATTTTAAGTAAAAATTTGTATTTTACATAAATCAGTGTGACACCAAGAGAATCACAAATCTGTATGTTTGTGGTTGTGTAGCATGTTTCCTCTGTAGTCCAATCAAAATAAAACTGTCAAATACAAAGCAGAATTTCAAGAAGTCTATAAGCAGTCAAGAGGCAGAAATGTTATCATTATTATTCCCAGAAATAAATGTTCTAAACTGTGTAAAGAAGTTGTGCCTTTCTGAAAGTAGGTGTTGGGAATAAAAAAAAAAAAAAAAGGACACTTTTTTGGAAAACTAGATTACTGTTTATACAATAAAAAGCTAATTGATCTCTTTTGCCTCAGGCTCCTTATCAATAAAATGGAGATAATATATAAAAATAGATGATATAATGAATACAGAGTATTTTAAGCATAGTACCTGGCCCAGAGTAAGCAGTCAATTCAAGTTTCATTATCATTTGTGTAACTGGCACCATACAGATTCAACCAACATATGCATGTCTTTGTGGGTACAGTGTGCCTGCCTTCCAGGAAACAAACCATTTTCTGCTGCTCTCCCAGCTCCCGGTGTAGTCCCGGTCCCGCAGGGCTAGGCTGTCACGGCAGCCCTCCTCCCACCGTGCTCCCTTCCCGGGCCTCCCACCAAGCCTAGCGCCCTCTTTCGTGCAGCCCGTCCAACTACACGCCCCACTGACAGCCCCTGTCTGGCCCTTGTGCTTGGTGCTGGAGTGCAGCTGGTCGGCCCAGGAGTTTCCAAAGGCCCACTCTGCGTTCCCAGTCCCGGCACAGCCGCAGAAGCTGGAGGCCCGCTCCACTTGCACTCACCCATCGAGGCGGGCTGCTTCCTCACGTTTTTGTTTTTCTTTTGAGGCAAAGAGAGTGCAGCTGGAACACAAAGGGTGCACTTTGTGGCTTCAGCTGTGTGGTGATGGGGACAGTGACTGCAGGCCCAGATGGAGCGGCAGGGAGGGGATGGGCGCTGAGGATCAGAGGCAGCTCAGAGAGAATGGTGGAATTAGGCCCCAAACGCTGCTGCCGTGACCGCTCCTCCCAAAAGGAGCCCCAGGTCATGGGGTCTGGAGCTAGGCGGGGCAGGACAGGAGTCCTGGGATGAGAAACACCTGGGCTCCCAATGCCAGAGGCCCCTCTTTCCAGATTCATCTGTAAGGAGTCTGGCAGTCTGGAAACCAACCCCAAACCTCCTCCACACTTCTCACTGCCCATCCCAGAGTCACAGTGTGGGACACTTTACCCGAGGGCCCGGCCAACTGCTAGGCACCCCATGCTAGCCCAAAGGCTGTGCAGGGGTGGGCTGCTGGAGGCCAGAACCAGAGAATAAGCTGCACATACACAGGTCACCAGTCAGTCACCTTCCTGGAGGAGGAAAGACCTAGGGCAGCCACTGATTTCTGCAGTGGCCCCTGCGAACCAGGGTGACATCTGCCAAGCTGCAGCAGCCTGAATACACCGAATCCATGGCTCCACTGCATGCGTCCCTGAGGCCAGCTGCTCCTCCAAACAGCAGCAAGGTGTCTAGAACCCATTGCAAGACACCATTTCTGCCTGTTCCTTGAGCCTTTCCCCTGAAGAACAGTCTAAGGGCTTTGCTCTCTCCATGACACAGCCCCACTGCCAGCACCCTGTGACATGCCAGCTGGTCTCTTTACCCAAGCCCTTCCAACAGGCTCCTCTTTTGAATAATAGTGGTTTATGCAGTGGTGTGGACTGGGCCTGGGCTGGGCTGGGAGGAGGACCTGCAGGATGTTCCAGGAAGGCCAGCAAGGTGCAGGTGCACTTTGTGGCTTTAGCTGTGTAGAAAGATGGAAGAGGTTGTGACCAGCTGCCCAGGACTTTAGAGAGCATATGAATTTATTTGAAAGACAAGATGCACAGGGCATTCATGTGGAAAGACAAAGTCCCTAGTTCAATGTCTCTTGAAGAGAACAGCGGGAAATGAGATAGGCAGGCAGGCCAGGCAGCCTTGAAAGCCCTGGTAGTAGGACAGGAAGTTAGAGCACCACTGACAATGATTAGCAGGACACAACATGAACATTCCATATTTTGGGCAGGTCACCCTAGCAGTGGTGAGGTGGAGTGGAGAGACAGGTGGGTGAGAGGTGGTAGGAGAGGAGACAGGGAGGCCAGTTGGGGACTAGCTAAGAGAGTGTGAGGAAAGACAGGGTAGAGGGGATGGAAAGGGTTAGTTAAAAGAGAGAAAAAGGTTTAGGATATTGGAAGCTAAGGAAAAGCTTGAGGATGACAAAGTTGACAGAAGTTTTTTGCTTGGGTTTATAACTCACAGAGCTTGGTAGCATGAGAGTCTGAAGCCCATCAGCCTGCTTCTGGGAGAAGATGGCCTTAACTCTGCCCAATTTTTAGTGGGGAAACTCGGGTTCACACCACACCTGCAGTCCTAAGGGTTATGAGGAAGAGCATTTGACTGAACATATGGTCCATGAGGGCAGGGGCTGTTTCCATCACTGTACACAGGTCCTGGAACACTACAGCAAACATCAAAGTGTAAGTGTTTGCTGAGCACAGAGGAATGACGCCCTCAATCAGGGTTGTTTAATTGTCTCTCCCCACTGCTACAGGAAAACAGGGTCTTCCCAGGGTCTGGAAAATGAACAAGAATGAGCACATTTCCCCTAGATGGTCAGAGACACTTTCAAGAGACATAAATGCTGTGATCACAGCTTCTTTTTAAAAATGCTTGAGGTATTTAGTCGATTCCTGGGGTTCTGAAGCACCCAGAATTTTTAAAAGTTGCTGTTTCGGGAGTAGTGTTCTTACTATAATGTCGTGATTTCTGACTTTTCTCAGTTCCTTGAACGGGTATGGAGTGGGATGAAATAGCTTTCAACAATCTTTAAAGAGGCCTTCAAAATACTTATCAAAATAATATCAAATGTCAAAATAATTTATCAGTCTTTGTTACTCAATTAGCAGTGTGACTAAAAACATCCTATTATGGATTTGAAGTTTTTTTACCCCGATTATTTTTGTTCTATTAATTCATATTAAAGTTCATAAATTTAACATGTATATTAAAAATTTCACATTGAAATTATTTTTTTTTCAGAAGTTCCTTTACCCTGTTCTTTAAATCATCTCACCCAGCCCATGAAACACCAATGATCAGGTTCCTCCTTTGACATTTGAATACATTAACAATGCTATCTATTTCTCCTCTTAAAAGCCAAGAGTCTCTGACCTCACTTTTCTGGCTCATATGCAACACGATTGCTTAAAATGACTCAGAATGTTCCTATTTACCCACGTCCATGTCAAGAATAGGAAGAACAGAGAACAAAACCTTTATTCACTTTGCCAGTTGTTACTTCCCTTCAGCTCCGCAGAAACCTCACTCCTTTCATCTGTTTAACAGAATGACAGTATCCGTGCACCTTCTGGAGCACAGCCAAGTGACATTTACTTTTACTTTAAATTTGTCATAACACTTCAATACCACTTTTTAAACCTCATAAGGAGGGTGAAAAAAAAACACAATAAACTTTAATCACCAGGTTTGCAAGAGCATAATTTAAGGTATCAGTAATGGGGTAAAGAAGCATTTGTTTAATAAGCAGGTTTGAAGCTACCATCAAGGTATATCCTTTTTCCCACATCCCTGCACAGCTTTAGAATGTTAGTTCATAAGCATTTAAGTGACAGGGGTATATAATATGTATGTATTTCCCTCATATAAAATCAGATCCACCCCCTGCTTCATGCTTCAAAACTGCTCTTTGCTCCTTCCACAGAAGTGCCCTGAGTCTACAAAGCTGCCCTACAGTGGTGCCTTCAGACCAACCAACAGGTTAAAGGAGGTTGGGTCCCTTTATCCCATTAAGGGGCCATGATGGTAAGAATCATGTGCCCTGAATTCCTTCAGATAAGCTGTCATCAGAAATGGCTAATTATTGTGTACTTCCAGGGAAACAATTATGGAAGTGAAAAGCACCACCATTACACAAGATATCTGTTCCACTCTGGACTTCCCATCATTTTCTTTACCAAAGGATGGTGTTGTGAGTCTTCATGACCAAAAGTATTGATACTCCTTACTTGTATTTTAAGTCTCTCTGCTGTTTGAGAGTCCATAATCCAAATCTTTTCTTTGCTTTTATGAGGAAATTTGCACTTAGCAAATTTTACAAACTATGATAGTTACAACTATACAAATAATATCATAATTTTAAAACTTTTAAAATTGACTCCCTTTCACTGAGGGTCTCAATACAATGAAGGTCTCATTCTACACTCACATAAAAGGGATTAGTATCATTCTATTTTTCCTTGGTCCTCAGTTTATTGCATTGATTGTATTGTGCACATGGCAACAAAAAAGGGATCAAGCTTTTAAAGAACTGCTTTTCTCTGTGTATATATATAAATCTAGTCCCATTGGGAAATCCCATCTTCTGTTACCATGGCAACAGAAAGCACTGCAGAGAAGGACCTTCATCACCCTGGCTGGGAGAAGAAATTGATTTGT